ACTACTTGTTTTTTTTGTTTTTTTTAAAACCCACAGAGCAGTGATGAATAGATAAAGTGTAAAACACAACTACACTAGCTCACGTGGGACTTTGTTAATTTGTCTTTAGAATTATTTCCATTATAGATTAATCTGATGCTTATTTTCACTGGTCCAGAAATAGGTCACACAAGAGGTCACGTCTTAAACGTCTGAGCAGTCCACAGTACAAAACTACCCAGTTAACAATCGCATGAGACAAAGAACAGGAGTAAATCTTCACATTTCAGAAGCTGAAACTAAAAAATGTTTGGTATTTTTGATAAAACATTAATTGATTACCAAAACACAATTCATTTTCTGTCAATTGACCCATCAATGCAGCTCTACTTTGTAGCTTACAAGTTAGAAGTTTGGACGGCTATCAAAACTACATTTCTTTAGAAGGATGCCACCATCTGCAGCAAAGATGTGTTCTCTTTAAGTTAATCAATAAGTCGTTTAACTGATAGCGAGTGAGTTCCAGTTTATGCCATGTGAGGATTTGCTGATTTTCTTTGTCACATATGATTTGAAAACTGAATATCTTAAAGTTTTTGACTTTTGGTCAGATAAAACAAGTAATTTGGATTTAAAAAATCATCAATGAATTGAGAAAATAATCAGCAGATTAATAAATATTTTAATAAGCGTTAGTTGCAGCCCCAGTTCTCTTGCAGGTTTTTATATTTTCATAGATCTCACTCTGTAACAAACAAATTTGCCAGTTGAAACTAACTGGCTCTATAGTGCGTTGGGAGGCAATTAATGATGATTTTCATTATCAATCTAAAATGTCATATTTTTTCAGAGCCCAGGGTGACATCTTCAGTTTGCATGCTTTGATGAATGTACAGTCCAAATCCCAAATATATATTCGAGCCACAACACCTGTGAAATAACCATACCCCCTGTAAATACTAAACCAGCCTAATCTAACAACCCAACAGCTCTGTTGTAGCACTGTGCAATGCATTCACACAAACTCTGAATAACAAAACAGAAATGTGCTGAGAAACAAAAAAAGCCAAAACATAAAGGTAATCATATTTGCAATTTGTTATTTAAAACCTTCCACATTTGGACTATAAGCTTTTTATATGTGTATGAAATGAGAGTGGCACAGTGAGCGCTAATTGGTCTTTGTTACAACAGCTGATTTGACATGTGGCAGACAGAGAGGCCTCCGCGTAATCAATAACGATATAAGTGATGGCTGCGTTCCATTTAGGGGTGTCAGTATTGTTCATGCTGTCTCACTGGCGGACCTGAAATGGAGAAGATGTTGTTGTCAATGGTAATGTTAGTATTTCCTGCTATGACAAGTCAAAATGCAGGCTGTGAAGAAGGCCTGAAATACTACGGATACATCTGAAGTTGTAATCTGGGAGTTGAGAACAGGTTGAGGCGTCCTCCTCACACACGGTGTCAGTTTCAGTATTTGTCTCAATTAACAGCAAAAAAAGTGTCTTCTCACAGCTCTCAGGATGTAAATTAATACCTCAAAAGATATGTTAGCTGTAAGTGAAGTCTTTCTCCTCGTCAGTCACTTCATCAAGTCATACACTTGGAATTTGTCATTGTCTCTTTAAAAAAACGTGCAGGAGGTTGTTTCCCAACATGAGCTTAAGCAGGCCGACTGCATATAAACAGGTCTGATGCTCTGTGTTGTTGTCTTGTGTTGTAGCTCTGTTTTCTTTGTGAAGCAATAGTTTGACAGTAGCCAGGACTGTTACCACCAGGAAAGCTTTGGGACGGTTCTCTGATCTGGAAGCGTTGGAGCGTGATTCAACCGTATGATCATTTTTAAAGGCTGTAGATTGGGTTTGAGCTGTATTGCATCCTACTGACAGGAGTGTGTCTAAAATGATGTCCTCGCCATTTATATCAATGAGGTTAGACTGAATATTAGAAAGCCCTCAGTATTATGCAAAACATCTGAGCAGCACTACAAACTACACTTTTAAAATAATCATAAAGTTGACACTTATAAAACCATTTAAGCAAACCAACCAAAAAAAATGTCCAACCAGCGCTCCAAAAGCAAATAAAATTCTGTTTGGCTAAGAAAACCATAATGTTTGTTTATTTATTATCTGTTAAAAATAATAAATAAACAGACGCATCAAAATCACAAACTAATCTAACATTAACATTCAGGAAAAAAGAGCCAATATATGCCATATATGTGATGAGCATGTCTGTTGTTTTTACACTATCATCTACTAACCAAATTGATGATGAAACAAGATACATGGCATGACAAGTATATGGCTGCCTTGCCAACCCTGCTAAATAATTTCCTGGGGGAAACCCTGTCTGGTCTGAAAGGGGTTGAAATGTACCGCTGACATGGTTTGTGTCATGATAACATGTCATGTCTTTCATCCTAAGTAGGTTTGATGAGAACTTATCACAGCAGTGCCAGACAGATAAATGGTTTAGTGTTGAGTCCAATAGTATGGGCATTTTGCTTCTTTAAACCTGTAGCAATGAATGAACACGAATGTGTTTATACTGTATGTTTCAATGTGCAGCCCCAAAGCAGTTTGACCTAGTAAAGTTATTTCACAGGTGTTGTGGCTTTTTCGAGGATACGCAACTCTGTTAGCTGCTTTTTAATCCACATTATTCAACAGGGGTAAAGATCTGTTTTAGACAGATGTTTAACCTAAAGCAGAGTAGTATTACAAAACTAGTCTCCTCTCTGATCACTTATGGTAACCAGCCATTTCCCCACACTAATTGAGAAATAAACCTGATGAGGACACCATATGAAGTCAATTTCAGTTCAGTTTATTTGTATGGCACCAAATCCTAACAAAAGTTATCTCAGTGCACTTTTCAAATAGGCCGTACTCCTTTTATAAAATAAAACCAGCGAATGGGGAGAAAAAAACTAAGTGAGAACCAGCTCATTGAAAAACTGGAGCATCTGTACAGTGCTCTCATAATCCTTCCCTAATTAACATCACTACTGTTTACTTATATCTGTCACCTAAAGTAAATACCTCGGGACAGATCTGTACTCTATACTTTATTTGACTCCATCATGCTGTGCTGTAGATGGTAAATATTGATTTAGCATCAGGCTTATTAGGGTTTAATCTTAATTTTTTTTTGTTCTACCTGTGTTGTTTTTATTTATTTATTTATTTTTAAATAATTGCTTTACTTTTCTCGTTTTTACTCAGTCTTGTGTTTCGTTTCCTCCACAGTGGCCTGGCTGTATATGGTGGCTCATTGAGGTGAACGAAAGGAGTCCCAGCGGCTGTTGGTTGGTGGGCGGCATCCGTGGTTGCCACGGTAACTGGCGACCATGCCAGGAGGTCGCAGGGGTCCCAGCAGACAGCAGCTAAGTCGCTCTGCTCTGCCGTCCCTGCAGACTCTGGTTGGAGGAAACCTCGGCAATGGTACAGGCCTCAGGAACAGGTGTGCACTACAATGAATTTAAATGTTTTTGCCTTGTAACTGTTTGAAGACTAACCTCCAGTTTTTTTAATGCACTTTGGTTTTATATTCAAACATTGCATTGTCAGCCTTCATTCATCGTTGATTTGTCTATATATTTTGCATTCCATTACGAAATGTTATAAGTGGTAACGTCATTTTAAGTAGAGCGGAACGATTCATTAGTCAAAGAAAATAAAATTTAATCAGTAGATAATTGTTATTTCAGTAAAAAAAAAAGCCCCAAAATCTCTAGTTCCAGCTTCTCTTATGTGAAGATTTCCTGTTTCTTTGTAAACTCTAAACCTTCGACTGTTGGTCACTCAAAACAAGAAATCTGAACTCCTTGGACTGTTAGGGACTTTTTTCAGTTTTTTTTTTTACATTTTAATCATGAAATGACTAATGAAGCCAAACCTGCAAGCTGGTTCTGGCAGCCAACTTGAGTATGCTGCCACACTCAAATGGCATACTCTTCTCCCTGCAAATATCCAACACAGCCTTTTAATGGTGGCAATCCACTAAAGCCACCGGCAGCCCCTCTGCTGCTGTTCATTTACTTTTTCAAAAGCTACACCTCCACCCCAGCATCCATCTGTAGGCTGAGAGTTTAACTCTCCCAGGGGGGAAGTTAGTATTGTGGCTCCCCACTCTCTGCTGACAAGGTTAGATCTTACATGCCAAACATCAACTACACATTTTCTACATTCATTATTTATCTATTCCACATTAGTTGTTGACTGGAAATGGAAAGAAATAGGCATGAGATTAGTTGATAATGAAAATAATAATAATTATTATTATTATATTATTATTATTATAATACCCATGAAAAATAACTTTAGATGTTCTAACTCGGCCCAGTAGCCTAACTCTTATTTTTGTGATTTTTCAGATGTTTAATGTATATTTACACTAACACTGGTTTGTGTTCACGAGTCCCTGAGATCGCTCAAATATAAGGCTTTTGCATTGTACCATGTTGTTACCGCGCTCACGGCTCAAACAGAGGGGGGATAGAGCCTTTTTGCAGTTGCTGCTCCACTCTGTGGAACCAGCTCCCCCTGGATATTAGATCTGCCCCCTGCCATTTCTGCGCTTCAAATCAGGCAAATAAACTCCACTTTTACTCCCTTGGCCCTTCTGTTCACTAACCCTGTAGTCCTGCTCTCCTATGTAATTTTCGGTGCTTGTGTGCCCAAGTAATTGAAGGTTTTCTTTTATATTCATGTTTTTATTGAATTATTTGACTATTGGTCCAATGTGTTTTTTCCTGTTTTTATTTGTCTTTTTAGTTATTTACCAATGTGTTTTTCTGTATTATTTGCCTTTTTTAGTCATCCACTGTACAGCACTTTGGTCAGTTTATACTGTGTTTAAATGTGCTTTATAAATTAAATTTACTTACTTACTTACATGAGTTGCATATTATACTGCAGTGTTTGAGAGTTGTGAATGTAAAGGTTTCTGTGATTTGTATACCACACTGGCAGTAGGTGTGCTGTGAAATAAATATTGTTCTAAACACACTTTACATCACAGATTTATCCGTCTCTGAGCGTTCGGATTAATTGTGTCTTCTTTCAGGAGCAGTAACTCGGTGGGTCTGTCTGCCCCCCCTCTCTCGGCCCTGATTACTCCGGAGCCGGTCCGTCACTCGAAGATCCCAGAGCTGCCGTTGGACAGCAGTCTGCTGTTTGAGTTCCTGCTTTTTCTCTATTTGCTGGTGGCCTTGTTTGTCCAGTACATTAACATCTACAGGACGGTCTGGTGGTACCCATACAGCCACCCTGCTGCCTCTACCTCGCTTGTAAGAACACACACTTGACTTGAAATTACTGCCTTTTCTTTCTTAACTTTAAAAATGAAAAACCCAAAGTTGATACCCACACTAACGCTAAACTTGATATTCAAAAAGAGGGCTCATCCTTTTGTTTTTTGTTATTACATTTTTTTTAATTTATTAGTATTGGGATATTAACAACTAAATGAAAGATTAAAGAAAATCAATCTGCAATACAAACACACTGTATATTTCTTGTCTTCTTTTTTTTTTGAGTTACTGCTGCATGAATCTCTATGAAGATATCTATCTCTATCAGATATCTGTAAGAATGCAGTATCTGTAAGCAAGGGACCAAGATTCTGAAGCATTCTGGTTTCTGTTTGTACTTTGGTTGGTTAAATAGTCAGAATGGAGAACAAAGAGGTAGAACCGCGTTGGCTGAAATCCAATCTCAGAACCCATCGGCTATTGTCTGTTGACTATTTTTTTTTTTAAAGATGTATTTGCATTCATGTGGAGATAGATGTTTATAAAGATCAGCCGAAATGTGTCTTTGTCATCATTCTCGTGTATCAAGTAGCTAATTGGACTGCAGAGGAAGTCTTGGTCCAGTTATCTGTTGCCCACTTTATTGGATATCCACTGGCTGCACCGGAAACCCTGAAACACAGGCCGTTGTCCCTAGAGGCTAAATAGACGATAACTGATGGGTTTCGAGATTGCTGCTGCATAATCAGTAGTTGTTTTTATTTCTTCTCTTTGATTTGTCTCTGTATTGTTTTAATTAGTGGAAATATATTCTGTGCTTTTGGTTCACAGTAAAAATTATGAACCTTAGTTACAGGTTGTGCAGGTTTTTAAAACTCATAAGAGCTTTTATTGGGCAGGTTCAGGTCTAACTTAAAATGTACAATTAAAAATGTCTTCATGGAAAACTAATTCTGAATGAGTGAAAAAAAGTATGCTTTGCTTCTACAGAACTTTCATCTAATGGACTACCACCTGGCTATCTTCATCACAGTCATGTTGGCCAGGAGGCTTGTTTGGACGATAGTTTCAGAGGTATACAGTCAGCTTTTTACACAGCCCCTGTGGGAATCAAACCCCACTGATGCAGTTTTGGTGCCACAGTCTTTCTGGTAACCCAGTTATTCTGTCATCTGTCTCGTCCAGGTATCCCAAAGCAGTGGCGGATCACTGCTCCGCTATGTGGTTCTGATCGCAGCTCGACTCAGCCTGCTGACCATGTGTGGCTGGGTGCTCTGCTGGACGCTCGTCAACCTCTGCAAGAAGCACTCTGTGCTCAACCTCCTCTTCCTAGGATACCCGTGAGTCTTTGATACCCCCCAGACTACACCCTCTAAAGGCTAGGATATGCTTGTTTGGTGTTTAGTTGTGTCACACTCAGTGTTTGTACCTGTCTGCATCTGAATGGCAATTGAAGCAAAAGGCCTGGCATCATGGAGCGGGGCGAGGTGCAGCAAATCATACAAATGGTGGACTCTCACTTCTCAAAGGCATTCACAGTGTTGCACAAACAATTGAAGTATGAAGTGAATTTCAAATCCTGCTTACTTTCTCACCTCTGCCCACTTTACTTGCAGTTGTGTTAAATTGTCGGTTTTGAAAATTTGCAGAAATCGTCGTATGCAGACTCTAATTTCGACATTATAAAGATGTGGGGGTAAGGGATTGTTTGGCTGGTTTCAAAACAAAACATTCACATAGCTATTAATCTGGTCAGTCACAGTAATACAGTAATGTTGTTATAGTAAGCATGTTGCTTTTATTTGTTTTATTTGTGTGCTAATGGTTGTGGACACATCCTCTCTTAATGTGTTTCACCATTTTAAATATGCATGATGTTTTCACATCGTACATTTCCTTTTCATCCTGCCACCATTTGAAACTAAAACTTGCTGCTCTGTTCCTTTTTTTTCCCCCACAGATTTGGTGTGTACGTCCCACTTTGCTGTTTCCATCAGGAGGGAGGGAAAAGCCAAACGTCATCAGCTGACTGCGATTACCCGGCCGACCACCAGCAGCCGACTGAACTCACGGAGACGCCGTTGTTTCGTCCACGTGACTTCCTCTTCCTGTTAAGAGAGAACCTCAGAGAGCAGTTTTCCAGCCCCCCGCACATGCCTATTCACAAATGCCCGCCACACACACACTCGCACACACCGGAGTTGATTCGAGCAGAGGTGGAGGAGTTGAAGAGCGACTTCAACCGGCGAATCAAGGAAGTGCTGTTCAACTCGCTGTTCAGTGCTTATTATGTCGCCTTTCTGCCTCTCTGCTTTGTCAAGGTTGGTATCGGTCACTGGGGTTCTTTTCCCCCTTTAAGATCTTATTGTTGATGTTGTCTCCTGTATGTTTTTAACTACAGTGAGTTTATCTTTCTCTAATACTGTTCTTTATTTCCCTAGAGCACTCAGTACTATGACATGCGCTGGTCATGTGAGCATCTGATCATGGTGTGGATCAATGCGTTTGTCATGCTGATGAGTCAGCTGCTGCCCCCCAGCTACTGCGACCTGCTTCATCGCTCGGCGGCTCACCTGGGCCGCTGGCAGAAACTGGAGCATGGCTCGTACAGCAATGCACCTCAACATGTGTGAGTGGCCAGTGTGCACACATTTGTACATACACAGGATTTTTTAATTACTCTGTTAATGGTTTGTGTTTAACTGTGGTGCTGATATGTTTTGCAGGTGGTCAGAAAGTACCATTTGGCCTCAGGGGGTGTTAGTACGACACAGTCGATGTCTATATAAGGCAGTCGGACCCTATAATGTCGCTCTGCCCTCTGATGTTTCCCATGCAAGGTTTTATGTGAGTATCTGTACTTTCTATCATAGTGACAGTGGATGTAACCTTTGCATTATTCATTCCGAGAGTCAAGAAAATAATAAAACAACAAACATGACGATATAATACAATGCCATACAATAATACCACAAACTACACAGCCATGGAGTCTGTTCCCCGCAAAGTATTAGTTGAAAAAAATCAGAAAATAAGCTGCATTAGATGGAGAAATTATACTTATATCACAGCCACATATTTAATTAGTTGGATTTTTAATTGGATCGATTCATACTTCTGTGTTAAGGCCTTGTCACTAAAGAATATAAGCAAATACAACTTGAAGCATGTGGAAAAAAGGCTTTTCCTAACTTCTTCTTTTCACTTACACACATCTAACAAAGCTGTTTCCATTACAAACCCTTCCTGTTCACTGCAACCCCTGCTCTCTATCACAGTGAATGGAACAATGTAAATACTAACGGTCTCATATTCAGTAATGAAACAAATTGAACGTCCCTGGTAAACCCATTGCGGCAAGTATAAATCAAGCTATCTGATAATTTCGTATTTAAAAAAAAAAAAAATGTTTTGGTTATTCTATAAAGTAACATGATCGAAAAATTTTCAAGGTGACACGCTCAAATGTCTTTTTTTGTCTTGTCGACTAATGATCCAAAACTCAAAGATATTCCGTTTACAAAGATATAAAACAACAGTATTCTCACATTAGAGAAACTGATACCAGAGAACTATTTATTCTACACTGAATACAGTGACTGACTGTATAAATCTGTATAAACGTGCATTGTTTTCCATGGTTCAGGTGTCCACCCACTGCATATCAAATATTTTAATCTTTCCTTCTGCATGGAATTATTTTCATTTCTGATTCTCTTCCTGTTTTTGGTCTTCCAGTTCCTGTTCCACAAGCCATTGCGGATCCTGAACCTTCTCATCTGGATCGAGTCCAGTGTGGTTTTGTACCAGTTATACTCTCTGCTGCGCTCTGAGCGCTGGAACCACACTTTGTCTCTGGGCCTTATTCTTTGCTGCAACTACTATGTCCTTTTTAAACTGCTCCGAGACCGCATTGTGCTGGGCAAAGCCTACTCCTACCCTCTGTCCTCCAACAGTTTAGGGCTCAAGTCGCAGTAAAGGCTCTTCACAGTGAGACCTCACCTACGAACTCTGGACGTGGAGGGGAGATCTGGTAAAGACCGGAGGGTTGATTAGCGCTCATGCTTGGAGGTTAAGGGACAGACTGTGAAACTCATAATCGTGTTTTGATACGGTTCTATTTTTAATGCAATGTTTATATATACCTATTTAAAAGAATATTTTTATTTTGTATACTATTTCGAGTTACGCCGGGCATTACCACGCTGACGACATTAGCATGTTCTGTTATGTTGTTGCTAGGCGACAGGGAAGTCAGGGTATGCCAGGGTGTGACTTTCACCAAAGATATTTTAAGTGCAGGTGGCCAATCAGCGGACTTGGCTTCTGACAGTCAGTTCAACCAGACGAGCGATTCAGAGCAGTGGAAGGAGATGTGCCTGAGATCCTGAGACCTGATTGGGCTGTCCTGAGGCTCTAGAACCAGTGAAACTGTTTGGGCTAATGTTAGCAGGACACAAACACTGTCATTGCTCTCAGCATATTTTAGTATGTTTTCATCAGTGATTTTAAAGCAAAAGTTTTACATTTTAGGAAATACGCCTATTCACTTTCTGGTGGGGAGTGAAATGAGAAGATATTGTAGATATTAATCAAATCTGAGGCCACAGCACGTAGACTGTTAGCAGCTTAACATTAGCACAAAGACTTTGAACAGTGGCCTAGCTCTTTCAAACTCTTGAAATCTGACTGCCAGGACCTCTAAAACTCTCTAATTAACACTTGTGTCTCTTACATCTCTCTTGTTTAATTTAAACAATAATAAAAGGCATTTTATAGGAGGTTATGTGCCGGACTATTTCCTGGCTCTGACCAGTTACAAGGCAACCACAGTGGCTGGCCAAGAAATGGCCTGGCATAATAACCCCGTTCAAAAGCAAATTGTCATTTTCACACTTAGAT